CACCCTTATAATAGTAGGATGGGACATACATGACAAAAAGCATCATAAATCTCACTTAGTTACAGGCTTACAGGGATATTTGACCTTTTGCAGCATTGGAAGAAGTGATGCAGATGGCAGTACAACTATCCCTAGCTGAGAAGCAATGATGCTACTCATTTTCACCTCTGACAGCTGATCCTGTTGTGCGTGCGTACTGAGAACTGTTGGCAATGGACAGGATGAGACCACACAATGACCCAGAAGTTCAAGCTGACTTTTGGTGATGTCAGCTATATGATTGTTGCCCTGACTGGCATTTGTGGGAGGACATGAAAGCGCAGGGAGTTGGAAGCACGTGCGGCTTGTGGGATCAAATTGGCTGGGTGTGTAGACTGTCGACTTAGTAAAGCAATGATGATTCCGTGTCGTTGGAATTCCTCGTTTCGCTCAGGGTTCATACCTGATGGCGATGTTAGACACAATGTCTGGACCGCTGAGCACAGTAAAATTAGACTATGAGGATAATCAGTCCCATGATGTCGAGGAGAAATAGGTCAGAAACTGATTTTCTTTGATGTGACACATCTCCGACTGAGGAAAGATACTTTGGACATTTTTGGACCTTGCATTTTTGGACCTTGTATTGCCAGATTGTGTAGGCTGAATGTACGTCGAGACAGACTCCATTCTTGGAAAAAACAAGCATGCCTTCAAATGTTTTCCTGGGAAGATTTCAGAGAGCGATTGGTCAGAAACTTGAACTGACCTTTTTGATGTTATTCTCTCTTCAACGCTGAGGCAGCAGCAAGTGTGGTTGTCCTGTCAGCAACACCCTTATAGTAGTAGGATGGGACATACATGACATAAATCGTCATCATAAATCTAACTTAATTACAGGCTTACAGCGACCTAGGGACATTTGACCTTTTGCAGTATTGGAAGAAGTGATGCAGATCGTAGTACAACTATCCCTAGCTGAGAAGCAATGATGCTGCTCATTTTCACCTCTGACAGCTGATCCTGTTGTGCGTGTGTACTGAGAACTGTTGGCAATGGACAGGATGAGACCACACAATGACCCAGAAGTTCAAGCTGACTTTTGGTGATGTCAGCTATATGATTGTTGCCCTGACTGGCATTTGTGGGAGGACATGAAAGCGCAGGGAGTTGGAAGCACGTGCGGCTTGTGGGATCAAATTGGCTGGGTGTGTAGACTGTCGACTTAGTAAAGCACCTGAACCTTCAATCGTAGCACTTTTTTCTGGCGAACCAAGGAAATGAGCACTTTTTGGAGTTTCGTAGCGTTTTTTGATGAAACGAGCACTTTTGAATGAGTTTTAATGAAACGAGCATTTTTTCTAAATGTTGAACACTGAAGTCTTCTTGGGCCAAAGGTGGAGACTTGCAAAATGCGCGCAAAATGCCGCAAAACGCGCGCAAATTGCCACAAAACGAGCGCAAATTAAAAAGTGGCGAACCACCCCAACATGGGTTGGATATGAGAGGGGTCCACGTGCGATTTTTGAGTGTTTGTAGCGTTTTTTGCTTGAACGAGCACTTTTGCAAAACGAGCGCTTTTTTTGGTAGCGAAGGAAGGTTCAGGCAATGATGATTCCGTGTCGTTGGAATTCCTCGTTTCGCTCAGGGTTCATGCCTGATGGCGATGTTAGACACAATGTCTGGACCGCTGAGCACAGTAAAATTAGACTATGAGGATAATCAATCCCATGATGTCGAGGAGAAATAGGTCAGAAACTGATTTTCCTTGATGTGACACATCTCCGACTGAGGAAAGATACTTTGGACATTTTTGGACCTTGTATTGCCAGATTGTGTAGGCTGAATGTACGTCGAGACAGACTCCATTCTTGGAAAACACACATATATCATAAACATAACATGCCTTTAAATGTTTTCCTGGGAAGATTTCAGAGAGCGATTGGTCAGAAACTTGAATTGACCTTTTTGATGTTATTCTCTCTTCAACGCAGAGGTGTTGGGTTGTACTTGGCTTGACAATACTGCAGCAACACACTGACTGTAGGATGGCGCGTGAAGCTGTTTTAAATGCTTTAGAGAGCCTTTTGAAGCGTTGGAAGAAGTGATGCACATGTTCGACAGTTATCCCTAGCTGAGATGCAATGATGCTACTCATGTTCACCTCTGACAGCTGATCCTGTGAGATATACGCATTCTTACAACATTTTACTACCACTCGCGCCGCAGAGTATTGAAGAGTTCCTACGAATGCTTTTCGCATGCACGTGAGTCCTTGTTAGCGTGAAACTGAACATGAACATCAAACACTGCGTTTTTTTTTTGTGTGCGAGTGTTTTTTACTGGCTAGAGGCCAAAGCTGATGATTATTGAGATGTCTTGTGCATCGTGTGCATCGAGGGTTGAACATGATACTCCTATATCACTGGCCTCTTCCTTTCAGCCTTTGGTGGGAAGGATGAAACTCACTGAACAACTATCCCTAGCTGAACGTCGGTGATGCTACTCATTTTCACCTCTGACAGCTGACCCTGCCTCTGGTTTTGGACATGCAGCATGAGTTTGTTTTAAGTTGTGTGCACTTGGCCGGTACTGCTTAAAACATGTGT